GACCCACCATACTCTCTCCTGCTTCACAGCCTCCTGCTCTCTGCATCGCTCTGAACCCTTCCCTCCTCCGAGCTATTTCCCACTCATCTGTTAGGTCTCAGCTCAAATATCACCTCTTCTGTGAGGCACTTCTCACCTCCCAGATTAAATGAGTTACACGATACGGACACACTCCCTCACAGTCTGCTCCTCTGTATCCATTTATCACCTTTGAAACCAACTAATAATTGTATGTTTAGGGACTATTTCCCCCAACTACACTAGAAGCTTTGTGAGATCCAAGCTATCTCTGTCTCATCCACTCTCAGCCCCTTCACGCTGAGGCTGGTGCCTCATAAGAGTCTCATGCAATATATATTGCTTGACTGATTCTCTGAACTCATGGCTCTCTTAAATAGTGAGCCAAAAAAGGAGACTAAATAATAAATGCACCAAGATTTATGCACTACTTTTGTTCAAATTATGTAGCTGCTGTGATTAATAAAATACAAACTCAAGAAAAGTTTTACTGAGGGGCGCCTAGGTGCCTCAGTCGGTTAAGTGGCTACCTTCGGCTCAGATCGTGAGCTCGGGGTCCTGGGATCAAGCCCTGAGTCAGGCTCTGCGCTCAGCAGGGAGTCTGCTCCTCCCTCTCCCCCCGTCCCCACTCTACCCCTCCCCATGCTCATTCCCGCGTGCGTGCACGCTCTCTCAAATAAACAAAATCTTTTAAAAAAAGAGAGAGAGAGAGAGTAGTTTTACTGAATCCATGGTTGCTTTTTGCTATTTCTTTTCTCAACCAATCAACACCAGAAATTCATCTGCTACACCACTATCATGTGCAGGAATCCCACACACACCCAAACTTTGCTAAAAGCAGTACTCAAATTCAAACACTACACAAACACAAAGACGTCCCATAACCATGCCTATTGTAACACAGGAAACTATTTCCCAACATATGTCAACAAAACAAACCCTTTAGTGTCACAGAGTATAAATGAGCCACTTTATATCAAGTTGAAAATCCTTTCAACCACTAAGACTTGTTTTCGGCCATTCTAAGAATCCTTCCAAGTTTCAAGTTCTAATACACACTGTGAAAAGGAGACTTAATGCACAAGTCCCTTCGAAGATATTTTGAATAGAACCTCAGTGATTTGGCTTTGTTCAAAATTTACCTGGATCTTGGGTATCTGGGTGGCTCAGTTGGTTGAGTATTGGATTCTTGATTTCGGCTCAGGTCATGATCTCAGGGTTGTGAGGTCCAGCCCTGCATCAGACTCCATGCTGGACATGGGGCCTGCTTGAGAGTCTCTCCCTGTCCGTCTGCCCTGTCCTCCCCATTCTCCCCTTCTCAAAAAACAAAACCAAAAACAAAAAACCTGGATCCATGAGATATTTTTATTAAGAGATCTAGAGGTCTGAGCATAACACACAACAGACAAAAACAAATGAATACACATACAGTCACCCTTCAATCAAATGCACAACTATTTTCAAAGATGTCATTTTTTTCCTTATTCATTCAACACATATTCGCTGCGTCCCTACAGTATTAGAGGTACTGTGCTAGGCATACGGAACAAAATCCCTGTCCCTGAGGAGTTCAGCAAAACAGCAAATAGCACCTGAGTACTTCACTAGTGCTGTCACCAGTTGCTTAGGGAGAGGACAGGGCAAAGTGCCTAAAAGTCTATCTGAGAAATGTGATCAGAGGAACAGTCCTCCAATCTAGATCACTGTAGATTGACAGAGCCCACTACCCCTCAAAACCCACAGACTCCACATGCACATGCTTAAGAAAGCAGCAGAGGGAGTCAGATGCAGTTTATTAAACCAAATGATATGCGCCATCTCTAACTCTCCAGTGTTTCACTTTAAGTACAAAAGAACTACAGTCCGTGCCTTCTTAAACCATTGCTTTTAAGCACCAAAAGCGTAAAGGGCTGATTTAAGTCTATAATCCTTAGTAAGTTCACACACATACTGATAGTAAGATAAAATATAAAATACTACAAGACACTACTAGATATATTCAAATCAGCTTTAACAAGGTTGCCAAAAAAATTAGCACCGCAATTACACAGTGCTAATTTTTAACAAGTGACGCAGTAAGTTACTGTAAAAAGAAAAAACACACTTTGGAAAGCAAGGACTCTCCCAAGCTAGACATAACAATTTCAAAATCTAAATGAACCTCTTCCCATTTTATGGGTTGCACTTAAGCCTTTTAATGCTTTATACTCAGGGCCTTGCTGTAGTATAACTAACATTACACTAACTTTGCCCTGCCATAATACAACCTGATACAAATAAAATGTTTCCCAGCTTATGCTAATAAAATGAGAATAACCTGAACAGACACAGCCTCAGGTTCTCTCAAAGCAGCAGGTTATTTACGTATAAATAAAAATAATAAGCCAGCCCAAGTTCATACTTCCATTTCACAAAATTTTCATCACAAATTAACTTGAAAAATTAGTATTTACTTAGCACTTAATGTTATATGTTAGATACCGTGGTAGGATTAAGTTAAATGGCATGTATAAAATGCCCAACTCTTATCATTATTATTCCCATTTAATGGTGCAAAAACCAGGGCTTACATGAGCTGAATGGTCCACAATCCCACATCTAGCTAATGTGGCAGCGCTGGGACACAAACCCAGGTCTTCGCACTAAACTTAGTGTTTGTAACCTGACTCAACCCTCTCGAACGGTGTTTATAGCTACGTGGATTTTCTCAAGAGCAGGTGGAGAGCTTACATTAGATTCTCAAAGAAGCCCACAATCCCCACAAAAGTTAAAAATATCACTGCACCATATGATCACCTGTGTGGGGAAAAAAACAAACAAAACAGAAAAAGCGCACTGGACTTCAAGGCCTTTCACCAAGACTCTTAACTCCTGTACTCCCCGAGAGGTAAAAACTCCACAGTTACAGTTGCACTTTAAAATCCTCAGAGCAAGTCAAGATTTCCACTCCTGGATAATTTCCAGTAACCCCTGCCACAGAGTAAGTTACACAATAAATTGCAATACTGTATCAGTTTACATCCAATTCTGAGATTTCACAATACTGACCAATGTTATTGAGTCATTCCACTTTCCAAAATGTGTTTCCATCAACCAGTCCTCACTGCACTGCCTGTGAAATAAGTTATCATTATATGCACTTCCAAGAAAGTCAAACACAGTCACTCTAAGGCCAGGCAAAAAATCAGCTACAGAATCAGGATCCAAAGTGAGAAGTTCCCTACTGCCCCCCTCCCCAAGATATGCAAGACCATGTCATTTACACCAAAGCATCCTCTCCTAGCTACACAGAAAACAGTGGGCATCTTTTCTACTAATGACAACAATAAATGAGAATCCAGTGGTAAATCACTGAGTTAGGGCATACCCCCAGCTGCCCAATGACAAGTGTGCTCCTCCTGAAAGTTGAGGCAGGTATCACAGGGTAACACCTGGCACATGTCTGGCATCTTCAAAATGAGAGGCAACCATTGAGAGACCCTGACAGCTCTGTGGTAGGTGTGGCACTCAGCTTAACTCCTGGCATCCTGTCCCTGTCCCTAGGATCAATCTGAATGATCCATCCCTCCTAAATTCCTGATCAGCAAAAAAAAAAAAAAAAAAAAGTATTCATGTGGAAATAAACTTGACCTTGAAGTTAACTGGTTCAAACCCCTCATTCTACAGATAAAACTGAACGTCCGAGGAATGCAACAATTCACCCAAGGCCTCACAACTCAGGAGCAGGGACAGTTCTAGAAAGGTCTCCAGACACCTGTCCAGGATCCTTACAATCCTCCTGGGCATTGGGAAATCAGTCGGGGTTACTGTCAGAAGGCTGGCCATTGACCTGACAGCAAGAACTTCACTCCTCCACCTCGTGCCAGATCCATTCTTTGCGTCCAGACTGAGGTCCCTGGGGGCCAACGTCAGGACACCGACCTCAACTTGCTTATTCTGCGAGACAAAGACAATTACTTATTAAAGCTAACCCCATCGGAGAGGAGAAAAATAGAATTCTGACACTGAAGAATTAACTTCACAAGGAGTCTATGTTAGAATGATGTTTTATTTATAACCCTGCCTGACCAAGATGACTTCCGCACAACCACCCTCCAAAGCAAACAATCTTAAAGATAATGAAGAACCCTATGCTTCCTGTGCTCCAAAGGCCGAAAAAAAAAAAAAACAAGGAAAGCAGTGGAGAGGACACCGAAGTCATATGCTCAACGTGTCGGGACGCGACCCACAAGTTTTGGAAGAACGTACTTCCAAGAAACTAGGATGGACACAGCCCCCCTCCCCCGCCCCCAAAGAAAATGAGAGGTTTTCTATCCAGTTTGAGGATCAGTGTGCATCTACACACCCGGCAACAATCCGAATGGGCGCTGCAGGCGGGCATGTCAACGCCGCGGACGGAGAGCTGAGAGTCCCCCTCTCTCAGAAGACCGACGCTGCGCGGAGCAGCCAAAACCTCCCGCAGGGGATCCCGGGGGGGGGGGGCGTCACTGACACGCCTCCGCGCAACTCCGAGGGTACTGCTCCCACTAGTCCGCCAGGACCCACACACCATCTCTTCCCCTCACACCCATCCCCTCACCACATTCCCCCTCGGCCCGACAGCTTCGGCGGGAAGCAACGCCCACTTCGGAAAACGAGCTCTTAGTTGTGGGGACAAACTAGGCGTCTCGATCACATGCATTCCCAGATCCACCGTAGCAGATACAGACATTAAGGAGTTTGCTGCTTTGACATCTTGAAAAGCACACTATCAGCCAGCACCTGAAGACACACACACACACAACAGAGGTAAGAGCCACGGGAAGTCAATAACCCACCGGGAGGCTCCTAACTGCCATCACCCCGGCCTCGGGGCAGGGCACCTGGGTCCCTCCCACTCCTCATGCCCCGGTGCGCCCTGCCACCAGCCGCGCGCGGGGCGGAGAGCTGAGGTCTCCCGATAGCCGGGACCCGGAGGGGGAGCGGGGGAAGGCGGGGCCCACCTCCTCATCCTGCTCCTCCTGGGACGCGCTGCTGCCCCGGGGCGCGGGTGGCGCGGTTCCTCCGGAGAGCTGCGGCGGCGGCGCACAGACTCCAAGCTCAAGTACCACGCGCGCGGGAGCCCAAGCGACGGGCTGCTGGGCGCCGCCCCGCGGCGGCGGCAGCCGCGGCTGCTGCTCGCCGGAGAAGCCGCCGGGCTCCCCTTCCTCCGACAGAGTTTCTGAGCCCGAGGAGGACTCGGCCGAGGAAGCGCCGGGCGAGGACGCGGCGGCCACCGCAGGGGCGGGAGCTCCCGGGCCGTGGCCGCTGCAGCCGCGAGGTACCGGCTCCGCCGCCTCCGAAACTTTCTCCCCCATTTCCCTCTCGAGCCCAAAGTGCGGCCCGAGGGGCGGCGGGGACGCGGCGCGCACTCAGCGTCTCCAGGGAAAGCTGCGGGCTGCGCGGCTCCAGGTCGCTCTTGCTGACGCTCCCGGGCTGCGGGGAGCCCCGCCGGCGACTACATGGCCGCAGCACGGCCGCCTGAAACCGCCGCCAAGTTATCAGCCGCCCAGACTTGGCGGCCGACGGGGGCTCCTGCGCGCGAATACAGGCCAGCTCGAGTCCGCGCTCTACGTTCCACAACCCTTGTGCGCTGCGCCCGCGCGGCCGGGACTGCGGCTTCGCCAGCAAAACCTGCCTCCGGGCAGGAGCGGGGCCGGCGGAGGAGACGGGCAGCCCAGGGAGCCAATGGCAGGGCAGGCGCGCCGGTGGGCGGAGGCTGCGGCGCCCCCGGCCGCACGGGCGTCAGGTAGGGAAGGCGGGGCCGAGGCTCGGACTACTGGATCCCGCCGGAGCGCTTGGGGCCCCAGGGACTCGGGGGAGGAGGGGGGGGGGACCCTGGAGGGTGGGAGTGGAACCCGGAGTCGGAGCCAAAGGCTGGAATTCCGAACTTGGCGGGGGAGCGGCTGGCCGTCCTTGGAACGCAGTGAAGAGACGGCTGAGGGGGCGATGAGACCTTGAAGAAGAACTGGACTTTGTTTCAAAAAAGTAAAATCGAGAAAACGGACCAGAAGAAAAGTAGTAGGACTTTAGGAGTAAATACTTTAGGAGGAATACACACACGCTTGCTGGAGGAGAAAGGAGGAAACTTCGTGCTATACTGACTGAGTAGATCTAAACGGGACTGATAACCAATCCGGAATTCTTCATTTAAACTCCTTAGGCCTCAGTTTCCTCAACTGGAAATGGAGACAATACCTGTCTTGTCAGGCTATAAGCTGAACATATCTATCAACTGATAGATAGTTATTATGTACACACACACACACATATATATGTGTGTGCCTCAGCAGCGCGCCTGGCTTGGAAACATGGATAGTTTTCCAAAGACTATTTTCTTTATTTCTGTGTATAAACTAAGAGTTTAAGTCAACTACTTGTACCTCTGAAAGGGAAGAAAATAACAAATAATGCCCCTATATTTAACTGGGAACAACAATGTGCCCAGTACTGTGCCCAGCCCTAAACAAAGTTGAATTAGAAAGGGCTCTGTGTCCCTAACAATTGCCTGTCTCTCCACATCAGCTAAGCAAAGCATGAAAAGAGTTGGCATTTCCAGTTTACTTTCTCCCGGCTCCGGATTGTAAACCAGCAGGAAGCAAGACCAGGTGCTTCACTTTCCTAACCCCTAAGAACTAGGAGAAAAAACTTTCACCAAAGGCAAAAGAATCACCTTCCGGCCCTCCCTTGGGCTGGAAAATGCATCCTTCCGGGTGATTTGGTGACATATTTCTTGGAAGCCAGCACTTGGTTTAGGAGTGGGAAATAAATGACTCCTTACTTGCCTTCACCTCAGAATAGATCTCCCTATTCTGAGATCTGGCACTGTGACCTGAGATATAAATTCAACCTGATTAAATTCCACAGACACTGATTGAGATGTGTGCCAGGTGCTTGCAGGGGATACAAAGATGAATAAGGCAGGTCCCCTGCCCTCGAGGAGCTTATGGTCATACAGGAGATTGATGCTACATAATATAGCTCCACTATTAATTTTTTAAAGCTGTGGTAGTGCTACAAAAACAATGTGTCATGGGAGAAGGGGGGAGAGTTACAGAAAAACAGTTAACAGGTCCTCAGGAATCTTAGATTTCTCTTTATCAGAACAGTTTTGCCAAAGGTCCTTAAGAACTGAAGGACCAGAGTTGAAAGCCCCTTCAGCTAATGAGCCCTTTTATGCCATCATGGTATTTATAAGTGATACATCACACAAAGTACTTCATTATATTGGACAGCAAGCTTGGTCCTGATCAGTTTCCTCCCCCCAGGATGGAGAGGAAGGAAATATGGCGTGAACCTATTGCCATAGGCAGCCATACTGCAAAGCGGGCTCTGGCTGTCAGGCTTGCATTGTGACACTTCAGGATGTGAAGTGCGGGGATGTGAATACCTGCTGAGGCAAAGGACAATTCTAGTGACTTGGCTGAGTTGTGACAGCAAGGCTGAAGAGAGAGCACGGTGGGGCGGTCAGAATCCAGCCCTCGGCCTCACAATCGCTTTTCTAGTCAGGAGTACAGGTCTTTATCTGAACCCCTATGTGGTTGATTCGCCAGAGCCAAAGTGAAATCAGGACTTAAGCAAACCATTCACATGAAAGAAAAGGAGAGGTTGCTTTTCAGTGCATGGGGAAAGAAGAGGCAATGACATGATCTGAATTACTAACAGGAGAAACGATGACAGCGATTCTCGCTTGAGCCCTAAGCATTGTCTGTAGGTAGTCTCATGTAACTCTGGCAACAATCTTATAAGACAGACTCTATTAGCCCCACTATTATAAAGAAACTGAGGATCTGCAAAGTCAAGTAACTTGCCAAATGTCACACAGCAAGCGAGATATAGAACTGTGGTTTGAACCCACCGGTCTGCCTCCAAGGCACTGGTAAACATTCCAGTATAATGCTATTCAGAACACACCACTTTTTCAAGCACATATGTACATGCTACATTACAAATATCCACAGAGCAGGAACACTGTTTTCTTGATTCCACATGTAAAAGAATATGAAAGGATACTTGGAGAACAGATTGTTTTTCTCACAAACATTTATCAGACACTTAGAATGTTCTTAAACACTTTACAAATGTTAATTTTGTAATCCTCATGTCAACCCTATGAGGTAGCCACTATTATTACTCTCATATTACATACATGAAATGTGTGAAAACTATGGCACAGAAAAGTTGCATAATTTGCCCAAAGTCACACAGCTAACGTGATGGAGTCAGGATGCAAATTTGAACAGTTTAGCCTCAGTGTTCATGCTCTTAGCCTCTACTGATCAAAATCAAGTACTAGATCAATACTTAACTTTTTAAACCTTAACCCTGCACAAGAAATATATTTTACAACTCATGACATATATAAATACAACTACAAATAAAATTCCATGAAATAATACCTATCCTAAGTTCTATAAGCAATGCAGTCTGATATTTTATTGTATTTTATTGAAAATAAAAATGCTAATTTGTGATCAGCTACATATATTTCACACTCCACTCTGACACATGCAGTCAAAAGCAGTGTACCTAATCATCCCCAGAGCTGACCCATGAGGGAACTATGACTATGGTTCAGGCTGAGAGTTTCCAGAACAGAACTAGGCAAACTCAAAGGATGACTCTATAAATAGAAGGTGATCAGAAGGTCAGCCTACTTCCCTAAAAATATCACAATTAGACCTATGGACAAATGCTGAGGTATGGCCAAACCACTGGAACAAAATAAGTTTTGATTTATGAAAACGCTGTGGTTCACCTTTCTTATCTGATAAATTATAATCATCTTCCTCAGTGTCAAGGAAAGTACCCCACCAAAAGGACTTCTCATAAATGTCCCTAATGTTAGGTATAAAAGTATGGCTTTTTTCCTGTATTGTCACTGTAGGCAAGAGCCAGAAAAATAAAAATGACTTAGAGCTCTTAGGAAGCCACTGGTGTAGCTTCGTATGACAGAACCAGACCAACCTACAGACAAGGAAGGACAAGGTTAAAAGGTGTCTATACATTGTACGAGACATGCTCCCAAGGGCTTGGTTCAAAGACAAGAACCCCTGGGCACTTGAGTAAGTGTTTATTGTGTTCAGTGATTAAACACTTGCCTTAGTTTTCTATGTTGTTCTCCTAAGTAACTGGAGATATTGCCTCTGGGAGTCTCTGTTGTCTCTGCCACTCTCTGTTCTGTGGGTGAGGCCAAGTGTGAATGTTAAGCTCTTGTCTCTCCAAGATGGAGGATGCTGGAGGAAAAGACATCACATCCTTAGTCCATTCCCATGGTTTTGACCTTCCTCTTAAAGATTAGGTTTATGATTTAATAAAATTGAAATCAATTGTCCTTCCATCTTACCTACATGAAATTAGGGCATCATCAACTCCAAACACACATTTTATGCAAAATTACAAGTAGGTATGTTCCTATTTAATACACTGTCATATTATCTTTAGATTATGAAGATAATGATATTATACTTATGGCAGGTTTTTTTATTATCATTATTAATGATAGATTTGCCTGCTCCCCCTTGACCAGTGAAATGCAATTTCAGGACAAAGTAAACGTCAATGAAGAGGTGGTCATTGAAGTGGCCTAGACTGAGGTTTCTGATTTAAACCAGAAGGTGTAGCATAATACAGCCCATGGCTGTTTCTGACCACCCAGCTGGGAGGAAAAGCTCCCACGGTTTCTCAGGCTTTTGTGTGTATCTAAGGCTCTAGGAAAGGAAGGGTTACAGGACAAGGTTCCAGAAGATAAGTAGAAGAATTTTTAAATGATGGTTGAAAAGGACAAGGGAGGAAGGGTAGTCACGTGACTTGCAGCTGTTGGAGTCTCTGACCTAGAGGTTGAGAAGGATGGGAAACTAAGCTATGTTAGCAAATTAAAATAAGCCCGCAACAGACCAAAGGGGAGGATGCTGCTGATCTGATCTCTCAGATCAAGGTTCCTCAGTGATTTGTCCGTGGAACACTCCCATCAGATCAGGACGCAAACACAAGAACAAATGAGGCCGATTCCCTGGCCCCACCGAAGGTCTGGGAATCAGCATTTTTAAGCACCATTCCAAGGGAGTGTCAAGTATACTAAAGCTTAAGGATTACTGAAAGTGTTCCTAATTTGGAACTCAAAGAGCCATTTTATGGGGCAAATGTACATGGCTCTGTAGAAGGTGACTAGAATGAGCCTGACTGACCGCAAGGATGCCTCTTTGGATGACTTTGCTCCTATTCTCTTGGAGTACATCTACCTTTGAGAGACCAAGACAGCTTAGCAGCTGGACAGGAATATGCATGTGCTGAAAACAGGTGGAAAATCTGAGCTAAT